CATCCAAGCTCAGTAGCAGTGCCACTCCTGGGGGCTGGTAGCAGCACGTTGGAGAGGAGAGGCTCCCCTCCAATGTTGGTGTTGTAAGGAACAAATTGCCACAGTGTCTGTCCCCAGTGTAAAATCCCTGAGCACAGCACGGGCCAGAGGGCTAAAAATGCCATAAGCATCAGTAGGAGAGGCAGAAGGACAAGCAGAGATCAGATCAAAACATCTTGCTACCTAGAAATAGGTGTCTCAGTATGCCTGTCACAATTGGTTTAGGCATGAAGACACACACACGCCACACACACACACACCTCCTTACCACTCTTCTGCTATTTTATGTCCTATTTTTTGGCTCTCTGGTTGTCTTAGTTACCTCTTTAAACTCTCTGCAGAAACTTTCCTGCAGTAACTGATCAGACTCTTTGCTCAGCATCAGCATGAGCAGAGGACATATGAAAGTTACTGCCTATCTTCTGGACCTTTCAATATTGAGCTGACCCTGCCCAAGGGTAGGAAAAAGAACTGTGTGCTGCTTGGCCTTGTGGTACTCTGTGTCCCGCATGTCTCTGTAGCACAGTTCCACAACCACATTCCTTTCAGATGAAGAACACTAAGCCGTTCCCTGCAGAAATGTGTAAGACTAACAGAGGGATGCTGGGTGCCTGGGCAGAGAGCTGCAGAACCAGAACCCATCGTCTTTCAGAAGAACAGATCCTTAGAGCCAATTGAGGGATTGCAAGAAATCATTCACCCAGCACTACCAGTTCGCAGCCTTTTCACCCAAGGCTTGGTTTGCTTCAGCTTAGTCATACAAGGGCTAAGTACATCCGAACACCTCTTCCAGGATAAGAATGAAACGTGCAAACTCATAACTGCAATAATAAGAATGCCGAGCTCAACTCTTGCGCAGATGAGAGAGCAGGCATCAGGGAAAGTGCATTTCATTCAGATCATTAGATCCTGCTGACATTTTCTGTGATTCTCGTGTGTTGTTCAGATACAAAGAAGGAATATGAAGTCATTGCAGCCTACCATAAATAAAGCTGACACGGAGCTGACATGCTTCCCCCTGCAATCTGCACAAAGACCTGCCTGCAACAGGAGCTTTGCTACAGCTTTCAATCAATGCAGCCTACAGTGATGTATCTCCAGGGGCAAAATGAATGATACTTGGAAAGTTGCTCTTACACTATTCATTTTCTGTACAACCACTATATTGTCCAGTGGTAACTGCATATAACTGCTCACCAGGACTCCTGGACCAGAGGCTCATTCTTTGCCCACTAGCTTGCCACATGGCTTTCTCATTTCTCTGCTTCCTTTCTGCAAGGAAGAGTTCTACAGAAAGTTATGAAACTTGGTATTTGTAAGATGCTCGAGATCCATATGCAAAGGCCCTCCCCAGAGGCAAGGGTTTTGTTGTAAAGATATTATGCAGAGCTTTATTTTTTCCTCAAATGAAGCCATCAAAGCATAGACTGTATACAGGAAACTATTCCTCCTAACAGCTTAGTCAGAATGTGTATAGATGGCTCATGTTCAACATATTTGGGGTAGGAACTTTCAGCAGAAGGAATCTGCTGGGAGTCTTTGCAAGCCTGTATAAGTACAATGCACAGATTGCAGGTGGTAAATTAAGAAATAGCCATGATTTTTTAATGTAGATGCTAACAGAAGTGTGCTCTGTCTCTCCCAGATGCAGCACCATTCGTCTTCGTAACCGTATTCCATATTCCAATAGCACAGTTGTGCCACAAATCTCTTTTCTGCCTACAGACTAGAAAGCTGGCAAGAAATAAAGTTGTTGAGATGGCGATACGTAGTTTCACACACAGGACCAGGAAACACGTTGCAGGGAGAGGAAGAAGACACTGGCAAGGGTACTCTTGGACTTTTCCATGCAAAAGCAAGAGATGCTACTGCCACAGCTAGGCTGGAAGGCATCCGGAGCTCAGGGACAGATCCTGGCCACCCCAGAAGGATCCTGGACCCTCCCATAATAACTAATCTTCAACACTAAGACTGCCCCAAGGTGGTGAGAAAACTGAGGCAGAAATACAATTGCATGCTTTATTGTTCTTAACCACTTCTGTATTTTATTTATTGTGCTGCTAAGTAAAGAACAACTGTGATTTAAGATACTCCATCCCTTCCCAACAGAATACGAGTTACCCAGAATAATTTGAGAACATGTTTGAAATGTGCCTAATCTCTTTTTATGTCTCAAGTCCTGGGTACTGAATTTGATGCATTTCCCAGCTGTCTTAAATGCAACACATGCAAAGGGAAGAATCTCTTGGAAACTTTAAGTGAGCATTCTTGCTGTTTAATTCTTTGGAGAGGTCCCTTTGTTATAGTGCTGGCTCTTTTATATGAGAACACTGACTGTGCTCCTGGAAGATCTTTACCTGGTTTTATTTGCAGTGTTAAATCACTGAAGGGAAAGTTAAATACAGGAAGAAAGATCTGTGTACGCAGCATTCTAAGCCATGTCTGCAATAGACAACCTCAGCCTTTATCTCAGGTCCAGCTGCCTGTAAATTTGTGAAGGAGAAGCATGACTCTTAGGCCTCTGAAAGCCTTTATGTTTCAGTATTTTACTTTCAGAGATGCACCATCACCCACACATTGACTCGTCACCTTGAATAATAAAGTGCACAAATGTAGTTTCATCTTTTCCATGCCAAGTTGCCTGAAGAATATAGGAGTACATGAGATTCCTTTGATTTGTGGCTTGTATGCTTCGTAAACAGCTTTGGCACAATCTGACAACATAAAGGTAATGGGACATTCCTTTCAAAGCCCCTATGCTTACAGATCTCGTTATTATTTACATGTATAAGCTCTGAGACATTGCAATTAGTGGGATGAAGTTCAGAGGAATGCATCCAAAGGAACAATCAAGGCTTATTGTCTTGGAAGATGCAGAAGCTATTAGTGATCCCATGAAGTATTAGGAATGTTGATCCTGCTTCGCTGAACAGCTTGGCATTTCCAGCTCTTGCTGTTTACTGACAAGGCTATCAGAAATGGCACGTTTGTCACATAGAATTGAAAAAGGGCTATCAGAAATTCCTTTCATTTACGTTTGTTGGGAGGTATGCAGAGTGTATTCATGCCTGGCACATTGGAATGTTAAATTCAATTCTCTAATGTCTGCCACCAGCTTGGGGGAAAACAACACACAGGTTCTTTCATGTACCCTGGGGACCATCAAGGGAAAACAACAGCTCCAGAAAGCACTTGTGCTGCTGTGTTCTCAGGGCGCTGGCGTTAGGAAGGATCTCTACCAAAACCCACCCAATTACAAGTATGCTTTGAGACAGTCAGCTCCTGTAAATGCTTTCAAATACAGTTGCGTGGATTCTCAAGGGTAAATGCCTGCAGATGTTTTACATGCCCGTCCCGTGTTTAGCTCAGGTGTGAGCCATTGCCACACAGTTCAGCTGTTTGGATAAACTAGCTTCTGATGTGCTGCATCAGATCAGTACGTGCATATGTAGGCATCCGTAAGGCGTGTAAAATTGTGAAAGCGTGGCTCCCTGTAATCAGCGTGGCCCCTAAAACCCCATCCCAAGCCAGCACGGGACACTTGCAGGAAGGACCAGGTTTATTTCCATCAATGACAACTTCACCTTACCGCATCAGTAGCACTGATTGCAAAGTCAGGAGAAGAAGGAAAGTGGAGCGGACCCCCATGGAAATAACCACGTTTGTGATGCCAGTGCTAAGCTGATTCATCAGCTGGGACAGATGCTCAATTTGTGGGGTGTTTTACAGCATGCTCTTGAAGGTAATTTTGACTTAGTTGTGACAGAGCCCTATGGCACTGAGCTACGGATCCCAAGTATTGTTCTCCATCATCCCTTCAGAAGGGCTTTCACATCTCTCCAGGTGGAGATGAGCTTTCTGTCTCCAAGCACAGCATCTTCCCCAAACAATCAGGCAGAAGAGTCAGCATCCGTTGCTGTGCTTGAGAGATGGTGATTCACTGCAGGGGGAAGGCAGGAGGTGTTGCCAACGAGCATTGCAGGCTCGTCACAGGACATGGGAAGGAAAACTGGGATGAGAAGGGAAAAATAAAACAACTTTCCAGTATGTGAAGGTGAATTCATCCCCTCTGTTCCAATCTACCATCACAAGGTATAGCCATCTGAGACTCATTGCCATGCTTTCCACCACACAGTAGTGTGAGGCAGGATGTGAAGAGAGCAAACCAGTTTCAGCAGCACAGCAGCAAGCTGTGTCAGTGAGGAGGCAGCTGCATGTACCCCTGTGCCTTTGGTCTCTCCCCTCCCAGCCCATGCCTTGATGACAGTTAGCAGCTAGGAAATAGCACTGGAGGGTGATAGAAGTTGGTTGTTGTGATAGACCCCTTAAAATGAGGATATTGAGGAGAAAACATTCTGCTGCTTTTAGGGAAGCTTTTTGCAGCTGCCAGGACAATTTGTGTGCGTATTTGGCAGTCTCTGAGGCTGAGATATTTAAGAAATCAGCTGCTTCTTACTGATATAAATGCCAGAAAATCTCTACAGATGAAAACAGCACACTAGTTAGGCTCACTAGTGGGGCAAAATCATCAAGTACTAGGCTTTTAGGGGACATTTTTTGTTCCCTGAGCCATTCTGCTTTAATGAGTTGCAAGCCATGACACTGTCTCAGACTCTCTCCAATTTTACCTCATTTCATGCTGTGCACCCTCACTCGTGCATGCATTCAAAATCATTCACAAGCATAAATCCAACGAGATTCATAGAAGCTAGAGCACCCAACCCACAAGGCACTCAGCCTGAAATTCTGAGCCTTGAAGGATGTTATCAGGAAGTACTACCACAAACATAGCCGTAACACTGGTCCCTATAGAGCTACACATCACTGTGCACATACAGACAATATGGTTGTGGGGCAGAAAGCCGTAAAGCCTTTCAAATGCAACATGCATCTAATTCTTGACTTTTCCCATGAACTCTTTTTTCCCATATGGCATAGTACGTATGTCAGGAGAACAATCAACGTATGAAAAACTGAATCTAAGTGGAATGCAGATCTCGTGATCTGCACCATCAGATGCTGAGATACCTTTAAAATCAAAATCATGCTTTTAAGCTTCTTTAGAACTTTCAGTAGCCTTTTTATGGCTATTATGCTGATGCAAAAATGATGTGAAATAGCTTGTTGCCTCACTGTGAAGTCAAATAGGATCCTATCTACCCTGGAGCATCCTGAGTGAAGACAGAAGAAAGCAGCACAAAGGGAAATGTGACTTTCCAACCCAGCAGTTTGGATATTCAAACGAGCAGGGAGAGAACTGTTTGCTTGGTTTTGCTCCCAAAACAGTCTCTATGATTTACACAAGTACTGAATAAATGCAAAAGCCATTTCTGGAGCCTGGGTCACACAACTATCAAGAGAGTGAAACGTCTCAGTCCATTTTGGGCTCCCTCCTGTAAAGCTGAGACTCTTCCGACACAGCTGGACCCATGCATCTTGTTCCATCAGCATCTTCATAGCTACCACTTGAAAGGGAGTGAGTCCCAGGTGTGTGTCTTTAAAGCCCCCAATTCACATGCTGACCAGTTAAACAGATTTGCTTATTTTTCTTTAACAGCCTAATTCATCAAGGAAAAGCTGCAAGGGGGGTTCTGGTCTGCCAAGCTTGATTGGGAAATGGGTTAACCCTGCAGCCACACCACCCAGTCAAGGCAGAAGCCAAACTGGATTGCCCCAGGTAACAGTGATAAAAGGGAAGTTAGTACAAAAGGAGTGATGATGGTCAGGGGTGCTTCCTAGAATGGGGTAAAATGGTATAGTAAAATAGCACTAAAAAGAATTGAGGTCTCTCCTTGAATACTTTCAGGTGGTTAAAGTGTGTTGGAGGGAACTGGAGATCGTGTAATAGGTTAATGTTTAGGAATACAGCTTGAGAGCAGAAGTAATAAAGTGGGGAAAGGGATCCTTATACACAGAAGAGGTTTGAGGTTAAGAGCAAAAGATCCAGTGACACCCAGGGCTATCTGGGGAGTGGGCAGAAGCTGTCTGATTGCAGTCACTGCTCTGCACTTGAGGTCATCTCTGCTGCGTCAGGAAATGGGCCATGGGGGAGCACTACCTCTGGGTTCCCAAGTCTAGGGATTTCCTCCCTTCGGTTCCAGTGGGCACTCGACCTGTCAGACTGAAATCTCCAGTTCATCCGACTGATTGCACACCACACAAAACTGTTCACAGACGGTGCTTTTGGCTTATAAAGCACTTAACTCTCTTCTCTTACCTTACGTACCACTACGGACTGAGCTAGCCTAATTCCTGTAACGTTACCATCTGAGGGTCTTTCAGTTCATAAAACATATATGGTTCATCCCTTCTGAACACACACAACGGCAGCTTAAAGGAGGATGACCAATCTTGATTACTTTTTCCCCTGTGGTCACAAGTCCTCTTTATAGGTTTATGTCCTGTACTCCTGGGTGCCCCTCTCGAAGCGCAGCACTGAAGCAGAGCCTGCATGTGCTTCCCTGCCTTCAGCACCCAGACCTGCTTGCTTAACATGAAGCACGAGAGGAGAGATGTACCTTCCCTCAAGACATCCAGCCTCCCATTTATTGAGCAAGAGCTCTCCCTTTTGCAGGGAAGGAGGGCAAAAGAGTCATTGCAAACAAGGTGGGAGGATAACACACCCTTAGCAGGCCACAGCAGCCTTCAGTAATTATATCAGACACCTGACACTGACTTCCCATGCTAGCACAGGAAAGCTGTTGAAGGATATAAAGAAAATTGCTTGCTTGTACCTATGGCTTTTGGTGTATCAAGATAACCCACTGGGCCTTGATGCTGTCACAAAGTGTCATCCATGTGCAGAACTGTCTTAATGGCTTCAGCTGTTTTAATGATGTCTCAGAAAAGGAAAGGCTTCAGCTAATAAAGGTAGGAAAAAAGACTTGGTAGCTATTGAAGGGGCAGAAAGTGGCAGGGGTTGCTCTTTACTGGTCCCACCTCCAGTGAGGAAATATGCCCTTTACCAAAAACACTCCGTAAAGGATTTCTCTATGAGGACACACAAGTTTCTGCTTGATGTTTTACACCTCGGAATGTAAATATTTGCATGACAGTACATGTAACATACGAGGTATCCCAAGGAAAGGAAAGTCTTGCTCAGCTTAATGAGAAGCAAGCATAAACTGAAAGAATATACTGCTTGCTCACATTCCCTGCCCTGGAGAGGCCATGGCTGCAGGCTGTTTCCCTGCTGTCTCCTGCATAGTTTAAAAGGAGTGATTTGCAGCCTAGAAACCAATATTCTGAGCGAAGACACAAGAGCCACTGAAAAGCTGGGGCTGGACTTCTGTTTCTTTGGCCGCCAGGCTTATGAAAAGGCTTCTTTCTGCTTCGCATCTCCAAGTGAACAGTTGAGGAGCTTTTGTGCCAAGCTGTGAAAGAGGAAAAGGCTTCCTACTAAAAGGCAAGTAAAAATATAAGGTATCTTGTATGAATCTGTACTGGGTTTGCATGGCAAGGCAGGGGGAGGACTACAGGGCTGCCTTCTGTGAGGGGCTGCTGGAAGCTTCCCCCACGTCCAGTGGAGCCAATGCTGGAGGTCTCCAAGGTGGACCCACGGCTGGCCAAGGCTTAAATATGTTATTCCAGAGGATCAGTGGTAGTGGATAACATATTTAAGATAGAGGGGGAATTTACTGCACTGGAGCAACTGCAGGCAGACAGGAGTAAGAATATGTGAGAGAAACAGCTCTGCAGACCCAAAGGCTAATGAAGAAGGAGGGGAGGATGTGCTCCAGGCATCAGAGCAGAGATTCCCCTGCAGCCCATGGTGCAGCCCATGGTGAGGCAGCTGTGCCCTGCAGCCCATGGATGTCCATAGAGGAGCAGATCTGCACCTGCAGCCCCTGGAGGATCCCATGCTGGAGCAAGAGGATGCTCAAAGAAGGCTGTGAATCCATGGGAAGCCTGCACTGGAGCAGCTTCTGGCAGGACCTGTGGCCCCATGGAGAGAGGACCCACGCTGGGGCAGGTTTGCTGCAGGACTGGTGACCCCATGGGGACCCACAGTGGAGCATGGGAAGGACCCATGTTGGAGAAGTTCATGGAGGACTGTGTCCTGTGGGTAGACCCCCCGCTGGAGCAAGGGAAGAGTGTGAGGAGTCCTGTCTCTGAGGAGGAAGGAGGGGAATGGGAAACTGACCTATACATGTGAGGAACTGATAGCAAATGCCATACCCTGTCCCCCTGCGCTTCAGGGATGAAGTTGAGCCCAGGAAGAAGGGAAGGGTGGGGAGAAGAGTGTTTTAAGATCTGGTTTATTTCCCATTACCATACTCTGAATTGATGGGTAATAAATTAGTTTCCCCAAGTCAAGTCTGTTTTGCCCATGGATGAACAACCTCACATCTCTGATGGACATTTTGGCCAGAACAAGGGGGGCTCAGGCACTGAGGCACGTCCCACAGAGCCCAGAACTACTTTATCAGCTCCTTCAGGCATTCGTGCCACTCAGGACCAGGTACAACAGTTTGATTCACTCCTGTGAGACCCCCCCAAAGCTGATGCATCTTTTGGATGCAGCATTCAGGTCAACGCCACCACAGCTGTGTGCCAGGGGAGAAGCCTACAAACAGCACTTACACTGACAAATACAAGTTCTAGCTCTGGAACAAGAAACGTTCCCTACTGTTTTCCTTGAAGAAATAGCATCATTAGGAAACGAACAAGGATTCCTTCAGGACAGGCATAGCAGCTCCCAGGAAGCATGGTCACATCTCTTGCTCTTCATAAGGTACTGGGCAGTTCACACACAAGTGCTTCTTTTAAACGGTGTATTCACTGCCAGACCTAAACGAATGGTTTCTGTTCTGCTCCTGTTCACCAAGACCCCACTCAGTAATCACAAGAAGAATTGGTATTTGGGGTAGGGCTAATTTTGTTTGCTTGTTTACAGGACAGGGATGCTGGAGACTAAACTGGTTGTTCATATGAAGGATCATGCATTCAGCCCATCCATCTCCTGAAAAGCTTTTTGGGTTTGGGCTGAGGTTTTCCCTTATTTTAGTCTGCCTTTGCCAGCAGCTGGTTGATGTGATCAGTCTCTGTCATGTTCCTAGACAGGCTGACTCAGCTTCCTCAGTGGTAATAAGCAATTTAAGGGAGGAGGGAGGGAAGACCCCCTACTCCATCTCTGTCTGTGCATCTGAAAATCCAGAGCAGGCTCTGCACTTATTTGCTGATGGCAGTTTCTGAGGTTGTGGCCCATTTTTCATATGGGCTGATTATAAGTTTTGTAGCCAGGTTCCCTTTTTTGGCATTAGAACTAATGTCCTCTCACCATTATCCTCGCAGGCTTTACTTCACTTTTAGCTGGTGTTAACCACCACCAGGAGCAGGATGCAAGATGAAGAGGGTTGTCATTTAAATCCAGAGGCATATTTGTTACGTTGAGGCAGGAAGAATAAATCAAGAACAACTAATGACTACACCTCGCAGCACTGTTGTTCCACACGGAGCTTGTATGTATCCAGGGATATTTGTTATACCGAAGTGAGATTCACATTTCACTTTTCAACCCTGCCCATTAGCTACCAGTCCCATGAAACCATTGCTCTCTGCACCTCTGCTTTCCAATGCGCACTTACTGCAGAGCCTCTGAGGGGGCTCTTCTTTCGCCCCAGGTTTGGTGATTGTACTTCTGACAAGGAAGCATCTGAGACACTGCCTTTGCTCATCCGTTCCTCTCTGATCACTTCAGCATCCTTGGGTCCCTCGGTCCATGTTTCCAATTTATCTTGGTTTCCAAAGCAACCAAGTCTTATTCTTGCTGCTTCTTCTCAGCTGGTTTGGTCGGACTTCTGCTTTCTGCATATTCTGTGCCTGAGTTTTTGTTTTCTTGGTTTTGTTCTTCCTTAAATATTACATTTGTGGCTTTTCTTCCTTCAATGTTTGCCACATTTAATGGTGCGTCGAAGGACAGCTGCTGCATTCTTCCCATTAGATCTCCCCTTTAATAGGGTTCCTCTGATCTTATTGCATTCTTCAGTGGAACAGCCTCTCTTACTGGCATTTGGGGATCATACCAATGAAAAGATACCATTAGTGGAAGTGGCACTCTACATGTACTTTCATTTTCTGACACCAGCACTTCTGTTGCTGCTATTTGCCTCTCTTGTGCTAGTAAAAACCTCATGGGATTTTTCCTGAAATGTTAATTTTCCATCTCTCCAGTCCTCCCATGCACCTCCCTGTGAAGCCACTTGCACTGGGTAACTGCTCCCCTGCTCCATGTATAAGCTTGTTCCTCCCTTCCTTTTGTCTTCTCTGCACTAGTTTCTTCAGGCATTTAGCAGTACAGTCAAAGCTATCAGACACCCAAAGTCGTCCATACACCTTGAGGATCCCAGGAATGATACGGTGTGTATGCAGGCCACATGGTACGCGATGCATCCAGCATTAGGGACTCTGCTTCAGGGAAACACAAGACCAGCTTGCTTGGAGGGGAGTCAGCACAATTTGGGGTTTGCTGTCTTGGTGACATCTGGGCACTGCTGTGCCTTGTGACAGCAGCAGAGCAGGACCCTGCGTGGAGCTCATCGCGTCCATGCCCGCGCCATGGACCATGTGCTTGCAGGCACCAGGCAAACAGAAGAAGTAAAAGCCAGTCCCGTTAGCGAAAGGTGGGTGAAGCAGCAGATGAGACTGAACATCTGTTAGCTGCTACATAGGTATGTTTCTGTGTGTAGTAAGAACAAAATGAAGATGTCAGCAGATTTTTGTTTTACCCTCCCTGACTTCGATTATTCTCTTTGCGTTTGACAGGTGGGATGAGCCTAATTATTCCCTTTGCAAGGTGTTTACGGAGTTACACCTCTTCCTCTTAAAAGTGAGTCATAATGCGGAAGCCAATACCTATCCTTGACAAGATGTTACATCTGGAAACAGGGTTTTTTCTTAAATGCGGTAGATTTCTGCCATAAAGGCATCAGAGCGCTACGGGCATCACATTGCGCTTTGTAAAAGGGTAGCTCATTCGCTACTGCTATTCACTGTCGTTACGTTTTGGCTGATTGCTGCTCAGGCGAGGCCGTAAGCGCACGGACAGGCTGAGCGGGCTGGCGCTGGCAGGAGGGATCGCAGCTGGACAGCAGGGGGCAAGAGCGCTCCACGAATGCTCTGCGGGCGGAGAGCCGCCGCGGCAGCCCCGACTCGCGGTGAGGGGCGCGGGGGGGAACGACGGGACGGGGAGGGAGGGAGGGAGGTGGGAGGGATGACGGCGGGGAGTGTCCTCTTATTCTGCACCCAATCCGTTCTATGCAGTCTGCTTCTCTGCCTTGTTCCCTCCGTTGCTGCTGCTGTTGCTGCTGCTGTTGCTGCTGCTGTTGCTGCTGCTGTTGCTGCTGTTGTTGCTGCTGTTGTTGCTGCTGTTGTTGCTGTGTCGTTCAAGCTCTGTGGAGCTGTATTTGGAGAAATGAAGTCGCTGTTGGAAGTGTTTGTAATCCTAGGTGTTTCCACGTGCATCCCTGTGAGCTGGTGCATCCTTGCTACGCACAAAAAAGGCCCTTCTGTGTATGCGTCGTTTTAAGACTGTGCATGGTCCCGTTGCCTTCCTGAAGCAGACAAAACAACCCCTAGCTGAAGTATCAATCCTCCAGTTGTTTGCTGCTATAATCAGCTGGGCAGCAGAGATGGCTTTAAGAAGTGTCTCCCACTCAAACCATTCCCTGGTTCTATGTCCATTATAAAGCAGCTCTTTTTTGCATTACTGCAGTGCACCTTCCATGAAAACATAGCCCACCTCTCAATTACTGGGACTTTATTTCTGTTCTGTAAATTGCTGGAATGTTGCCTTCTCTTTGCTTAGCTCCCTGTTTGCGGTTTAGCTTGGAAAGTCTCTAACATTCCTTTACAGCAAGACTTCTCAGCAACAAATTCCCTTCCAAGACTTTTTACCTTTGAAACATCTCTGCAATGGAGGGAATTTGGGAAGGGAAATGGAACAAAAAGTCGTTTTTGTCTGAAGAGAGGCAGAATCTTGCTTTGTTGGGTTTGAAAGCTGGAATTTTCAGTGTCCCGTTCTCTCATGGGTCTTCATTTAGGAAATGAATATGCAGGGAATTTGGGGAAACCTTAGGGAAATAAAGGTAAGAGAGAAGGGCACTACCCTGGCCCTTTCCAAACTTCAGTACTGATGGAGAGCGAATATTTCCCCATTTATTAGACATTTACACACTGTTTGCTTCAAGGACGTGGAAATTCATATTTATCATATACATCACTTGTTATTGTTCTTACTTCCTGACTGGCTGACTGAAAGAGGAAATGAAGCTGTGCTGAATGACTTGTGTTACTGATCGCACAGAAAAAGAACAAACCCCACACAGAGCCTAAACCACTGTAGGCCTATGGTGCTTAAAGGTAACCAAGTATTGCTGGTAGAGGTGTTGCTTTAGCTGTACTCAAATGAGGACACAGGAAGGCAAGGTTGGTAGGGAGAGGTAATATGTTTTATATAGATTAACTTCTACAGCTGGGCATCTTTTGGTGCTTTGGTACATCTCACAGGTAGTTTGACCCCATACAGAGTCTATAAGCATGTATTTACTTTACTTTTACTATAGGAGGTGTCATGTATGGACCACATCCCTTGGAAAGGAGTTTGCTTTCTGCACCATTAATGCTGCAGCGTCACAGCTGCTGGTGATGTAACTTGCATGGAGTCCCACTGCAGTGGAAAGGGGATGCTCCCGGGTTACTGCAGCTTACTGGAGATGTTTCTGCAGCTGAATGCTTTGCCTGCTTCAGCCTGGACATGTGCATCTCCTAACACATCAGCCAGACTCCAGGCTCTTCCCCTTCAACCACTACTGCTCACAGCAAGGCCTGAAGGCAATTCACACTCCAACACCTGCAGATATGCCTTCAGGGTTTTAGGCCTTTATATATATTCCCTGTTAAATTTTTACAGCTACAACTTTGCCATCCATTTGGATTCTTCATTAGGGTCCCTGTTCAGTTGTCTTTGAAGTCAACAGCGTTCTCTGAATGAAGCTCTATGGCTGCACAGGCTTTGAAAAAGAGACCTCACACATTAGTGCAGTGCAGGTTAGGAACTCCTCTTTTCCAAGCTAATGTGCTGAGTCTCCTCTTTACATTAATAAAGGCATATGGGAAGAGAGGAAAGCAACGTCCCTGTTTCACGCTAGGAGCTGTGACGTTTGGAGGCTGCACATGCAAACAGCTAGCTCCTCTAGGAAGCTTCTCCTAGCTGTGGGGGGAAGATGGAGGCCATAAGTTGATTCTATTTTTGCCCAAACAGCCTGTGGAAAGCAAAAGAGGGTTTCCTGTGGAAACACAGAGATTCTGAAGCCTTCTGAGCTCACCAGTGACTGCAGTGCCCCTCACTAGCTGCATGCTCCTGGTTATTAGGCAGGGACAGCAAGGGTGGGCAATGGCACTTGTGGGCAAGCTGACATTCTGCTTGTGGGATTTTGCACAGGTGAAAGCAATGTTGTCCCTTAGGGACCTGCTTCTCACACCGGCCGCTAAGGACAACGCACAGGGGTGGCATTTATAGCTTGGTGTGTCAGCAGGAGGCGATGGGGAACAGGTTGCGGTGGTGGCACCAGTGCCTCCTGCTGCTGCTTGCTTGCTGTTCATCAGTCAGCAAGTGTTCCCTGGACAAAGCTGTTCATTAAAATGCTTTCCTCTAAAATGGCCACAGTTTCTTGCCAGTGGTGGTGTAGCCTCGCTGTAATCCTGTGGTTCCCCCATAGCTCACAGACACTTCCAGACCAAGAAGCAACAGCTGAAACAACCCCTCGTTTTCAGTCAGAGCTGTAGAGCAGAAACAGCCTTATTCAAGTTTCCCAGGCTTAAATTCACAGGCTGCCCTGTACCTGTCAAGGTGTGATTTTCAGCTACTGATTGTCCTTGCTCAAAACACACATAGGAGCAAGACCCAGCAACCGTGGTCTGACCGAGAGCGTGGACATTTGTCCAAGTTATGCAAAGCATGGTTTGGGGTGCTGTCTCTTGACGTCGCCTTTCACCTTCTTTAACCACTTTCCCGTTCTTCTAAACATAGATTCCCATTAACAGAAGATGATAACTTCGCTTCTGTCCTGGCACCTACTGGTAAGACCTCACAGTCGAAACGAGAACAATCTCATAAGGCAAATGCATGCAGTGTTTCAGACTAGCACTTGTGTGCTTCACTCACCAGTTTGCTTCTCTGTGTCACAAGACCCAGCCATACCTCAGGAATTCCAGGAGCCTGTGTCATTTGTTCAGTCACTTTTCCAGATGTAGATGCTATAACATCCTGAAACACAACAGAGAATTAGTAGCAAAGGGCAGCACAGCCCCTTGCAGTTACGGGCAGCAAACCCTGTAACGCCTTCCCAGAATGTCCCATTACATCTCACAGTAGCTGGCAGTGGGGAGCAAAGCTAGGTGGCTTCTGGTTCCTGGTCTAGGCATAGCTATGGATCACAGATACCTATTTGTCCTCATGCCGGCATTGCTCTTCAGCTTAAACGACTCTTCCTTTTTCCTTCCTCTGTGTGTTACAGACGGCAGTCGTGCTTTCCACCTCTGCTTTACTAAAGCATCCAAATCCTTCCATCGCCCTTCATACATGTGAAGCAAATAGCGTTGTTCTTCTTCGAGGCAGTGGCTGCACATGGCGTTTGTGACCCATCTTTCCTAAGAGTGTGGGGTTTAGATACAGGTCTTATCAAAGGTAGACCTGCAGCTGGCTGGAGGACAGTGCTTCCTGACCAGAGACAGTTAATCAGCAACAGTGTCCAGATGGTTTGTGACTGGGCCTGGTGATGATGCACATACTTGGGGAACTTCCAGGTTTTGTTCATGATTCATTCAGCTTTGGCTTCCCCTGCTGAGAAGGGGAGATCTCACAAAACACAGTAATAGTTTGCAGTATAGGACACTTTACACACAGCTTTGCACCAACTGGAGATTTTGAGATGACTCCCTTATTGAGACATCCTAGCATTACATTGTGAGGCTGGATCTCTATTCTGTTGTGTACAAGCAGCGGCTCACAGGAGCCTTTTATAAGGTTTGGTTTAGCTCTCTTCAAGGCCATTTGCTGCTGCAGTGGGAAAGGGCTTAGCTTGCCTTCCAGTCTGCCATGCTGCTTGCATCCCTGCTTTAATAATGACGGTAATGCAAACCGGCACCCTCCTTTTACCCCCAAGGCAGCTGACTTTTTACAACCTGACACCAGGTTTGTGTCTTAGAATGCAACTGCTGTCATTCAAATGAGTGATAAGGAATGCAGCAGAGCATCCTTTTAGCACGAGGCACATATGCATTTACTGTTGGTACTGCAATGATAATGAGGTGCACCTTATCAGTGTGTTATGTGAGCATCTGCGACACCTTTAAGATGCTGCTCCCACTGCAGCTAACCGACAGGAGTATGTTCTACTCAGAGGATGTAGTGGCAGTTCCAAGGTCGAATTGTGCATACTGCTCACAATCACTGTGCTTGGTGTATTCTGAAGAGATTTTGTGTAATTGTTTGGGGTTTGTTTTCCTTTTCATGGAGCAGAAACTTGCAGAAACTTACAAGACTGAATGTGCTCAACTACACTGCAGCACTGCTAGCAGCCACACATAGTTAGCACAGGCTGTCTTCCGGTGTTATCACTCCGTTCACACTCTCTGCCTTTCACTAGGGGCTGATGGCTGCTTTAAACCCCCACAAGCTCCTGCCCCTCGGGGCGTGCTCTGCTTGTACCTCTGGGCTGCTGGGGACAGGGGACACAGCCACACAGCCCAGGGTGATGCGTCTGTGTCCTCCCAGCACTTGCGAGCGTCCCAGCTGCAGGCTGCACTCCCTGCCCTCTGCCTGCGCCT